GCAGTAGCAGCAGTAGCAGTAGCAGTAGCAGCAGTAGCAGCGGCAGCGGCAGCGGCAGCAGTAGCAGTAGCCGTAGCCGTAGCCGTAGCCGTAGCCGTAGCCGTAGCCGTAGCCGTAGCCGTAGCCGCAGCCGCAGCCGCAGCCGCAGCCGCAGCCGCAGACGTAGCCGTCGCCGTGGCCGTAGCCGTAGCAGTAGCAGTAGCAGTAGCAGTAGCAGTAGCAGTAGTCGTCGTCGTCGTCGTCGTCGTCGTAGTCATACACGGACGAGGAACAATAGTTGTAACGGCAGCAACCGCCGCAGCAGCAACGGGAGTCGTTCTGGTAGTCGGCGTCGGCGTCGTCGTCCCCGTGTTGGTTGTTGCGATTGTGGTGGTCGTTGGTGTTGTTGTTGTTGTTGCTGTTATTGTTGTGGTGGTGTTGGATCGTAGCGGCAGCGCCAGCAGTGGTCCGAGTGGAGTAGAGGCGCAAGTATTCGTAGTAATCGCTGGTCGCTGGTAGCTCTCGAGTCACGTCGCTATTGATTGCCCCATCGTCGCTTGAGTCATTCTTTGAAGTCGCGAACGCTATGGACGTGCCCAGAACCCTTTAACCATTGAGTCCTCAACCTTGTACGACATCGCCAAAGGCCCTAAAGGAAGCAGAGCGGCCCGAATTGACAATCCTCGCGAACTCGGGGTTCACATCCACCTGTGCACCAAGAAACCATCCAGGGGTCTTCGGGAGATTTAGAACCTTAAATCCGCAGCTCAAACGGCGACTCCAAGGTTGGCCAAGGCAAGAAGCTGAGGGGTGACCCGAAACTGGTGCAAGACGCTAGCTTGTCATCATCCCTAACCCATGCTCCAGCTGTCTAGGGCTCTTGGAGGCTTGATCTTCATCTTCATCAGTTGCATCGTCTCCCCGGAAGAGGTCTTGGTTCAGGGTTCGAAGACGGGGAAGCCTCCTCAGGTTTGAAGCGACTCTCTCTGACCATTGCAACTAGAAAGTGACTTGGTTGAACTTTTTAGAGTTGAGAATCTGAACACGCCCTAATGGTACCCGCTGGAGAACATACTCGCCATCGTGACCACAAAGATGGTACTGATGGCAAGATAGCGTGTGCTAGCCACAGACCAGGGACTATACGGTATTCTGACCCTTATAGCCCTTATAGTGCCTCTCAGCACTTAAAATGGTCCCTCTGTCGCTACCAAGGAGCCAGGCTTTTGATGACCTCCCTGACCATCTCCGCCATGAAGGTCTTCTCCTGAAAAACCCTAATTCATCCAAGGGTTTAAGAAACCTCAGGTTTTGCGCTTGGGGCGTATTCAGGTTTTGCCGAGTTTGGGCCTTTGAGCTTAGGTTCAAGAGTTTACTATGCTAGACCCTCACTGAGGAATGAGTATCGAGCCTCGTGCACTGAGATCTTGCCAATTCGAGTTCTCCTGTGCTTGATACCTTTCGGGACGAAATACTACTTCCAGTTCTTCAATCAAAAAAATACCTCAAACTAAACCCCCTACCTGGCACTTAAACCACATTCTGAAACCCGGGCCACTCTGAGAAACTCGCAAGTCCAACAGCCCCGCGGCCGGATCAACACCGTAAGCCAGAAGGATTTCATAGAGTTTTGTAACGGTCGTAACGGTTTTGATGAGATTTAGAATCGTTCTGTGTGGAGTTGTAGAGGTTTAGCTCCCATGATATTCATGCATTAACGTCTCTTGTGAAAGTAGTGCGAAACACAAACCCCGCTACAGCCATCTATCCCCGATCTCCAAACCCAACACCCCCAAAACTCTGAACTTTGCCCTAAGGTTTATAAACTCGAAACGCTCGAAACAGCTCTTGTGAATCCCAAAAAGCCTTCGCATCCTTGAACCTTTAAAGGCGCTGTTGTACATCCAAAAAACTTATAGATCCGACAACCCTGGCCTAGAACCGGCAAGTAGAACCCTTATAGAACCCTATATTTAACCCTAAGCCCGGGGCTCCCAACCTCGGGCTCCAAGCTCTGTAGGGGCTCATAGAAAAGCACCACATCCTCGGAGATCTTGGGGCTCGAAGGACGAGACCACATGCAGACATACAGAGATAACAGAGAAACAGACTTACATACATGCGTATAGCTACGCGTATATAGCTCTATGAGAGAAGGTTTTCCTGATGATAGCGCTGCTTCTACTCTTACGAGAAGGTCCTGGGCTAAATACGGAGCTTCAGGCTTCTCCAGAGCCTCAGGGTATCGGGCCAATTTTTTCAGCTCGAATGCTGAGCTTGAACAAAGGTTGGAGGGAAGATGCTTTAGCGTGGTTAGGGCGGCCAGGGCTCACGATCTTTATGGATATTCATTCAAATGACGGAAAGCTTCTGTGAACAAACCTATTCCCAAAACCATGAGCCATAAACAGTTTTTGAAGTTCAGGGGCTGCTCCGTAGAGGCTGGGATCTGAAATCTCTGTCCAACCCTTTGAGAAAAACGAAGCACTGCCTGGCTCCCGAAACAGCACCGTTGGAATGAGGGGTCGTCTTCATCAGAATAGGGTGTTATGACATGGGGGCTTTTTCAGCAACGGGTGCTGGGGAATAGTAGACTATAATGATAATACGGAACCTTAAGGACTAGTACTACCGACCATTCCGACCCCTACAAAAAGCCAAAACGCAAAAGACCCCGCACTAAACCGCAACATCCAAAACCGCTAAACCCTAAGAAACCACAAGCCTGGGAATTTCAGTAAAGCGGCGGCAAAGCCGTCCATCGGATCCCAGCGAGACCGAGCGTGATCTCGCAGTGCCGACACTTCCTGGTTTGAGCGAGCTTAAAGGCTGTAATCCAGAAAGGGTTTCTTCTAAAGGCTCCTGTACTGGGTGCAGGGTGCTGTGAAAGAAGGGGCCTTAAAATTTGCAGCCAGGTTTTGAGGCGTATTATGCTGAGCTCACATCTGGCCGTTTGGGTATTTCGTACGCTAGGCCTTGGGGCTTGGGGCCCTCTCTGGTCTGACGAGATTGTGTTTAGAGGGGGGACTTTTGAAGAGCACGCGGGTTTGAGCTTCGTATACGGACCCCAGTACTTCGAACAACTGGACTGACTTACCCAACTTACAAAAGAAGAGCATCCACTTCGGGCTTTGCTGACGGGGGGTCTTCTGAAGAGGTCAGTCTGAAGAACTAGCAGTCTGCAAGCCGAACAGGCGCCTTCAACAACCCACTTTTTTAACAACTAAAACCTCCAAAAACCCTACAAATAGCCATTTAAGCCCAAGTAGAGCACGGAACTAGCCTTCAATCAAAACCCTCCTAGCAGCGGGGCCTCCTTGTCATTGAACGAAACGAGCTTTAGGGACCAATGAGACTATTTAGGGCCTAATTACGAGTAACTATATGAAGAAACCTTGGGGAACACTGTTGCTCATTACTCAGGCCCCCTTATCCGATTGTGCAACTCGGGCCTTCAAGTAGGTCTCCCGGGTCATCCGCACTTGCGTCCGTAGCCGCTGGAGGCCTTCAACGGGGATCCAATACAGGGATCTTATAGTAATGTTATAGGTAGTGCAGGGACCTGAACTTTAAACATTAAAGCCGTATTACCCTGAGTGTCCTGGGTACAATTTCAAGTCCGAGGCTCTTCGTGTTCGCTTTAGCGGCGCTTAGCGGCGCATGCAAAACAAACTTGGCAGACTAAGCACCGGAAACCCAGAACCTATCAAAACCTCAAATACATTGCAGACATGTCGAACCCATCAGCACAACCATCCGAAATCTCAAACCCTAAACCTAAACCGCCAGAACCCCCAACGCCCAGGCCCGCAACCCGAAACTCCCACACAGAACAGATTCGAAGCTGGCGCCTAGCTCCAACTCTTTCTTGTGCTCTCGCAGTGGCTTCACGAAGTCATGCCAACCTGAGCTAGGGCTAAGGGTCGTTGCTTTTGGCAAGGCCCCGATTGAAGACCACATTAAATGAAGAAGCCCATGATTCAGGTATGAGGGCCCCTGTACGGCGGAGACTGGGCATCTTGCGTGTGAGATCCTCATGCTTGTGTGGGTGCTTCCTGAATGGGTTACAGCTCACAGCTTGGGTTTCATGGGGTTTCTTTGTCGCTCCCTGTAAGGCAGGTCAATGTCCAGGCGATGCAGGTTTTTTACCCCAGTAACCCTAAACCCTGAACCCTTGGTCCGTCTCATATGTTTGGGGAGTATCAGGGTGAAGCTCTGGTGGTTTCAGTTTAGGCTCGACCGGCTTCAAAGCGGTGTAAAGCATGTCGTTGCCAAACGCTTAGGGATGGATACGCGGTTTGTAGGGGTTGGTTGTCAAGGGATGAAGGGCTTGGGGAGGGGAAGGCGCGGGGGCGGCGGCCGGGCTTTTGATCCTTAGAAGAACACATGCGAGCGCGCCGGCTTTTGGGTGGCCTTGCGGTCAAAAATATAGAGTAAGTATAGTTGCTATCTGCTATTTAGTACACAAAGGCCCATAAGTACATGAGTACATGCTATCCATTACGAATTTTTCAGGCACGCATAGCAATAGTGATCGGGGGCTGGAGGGCCTTCTAAACCAGCTTTTGCAAGCCGGAGTGCAAAGGTGGGCCGTGCAAAGCTTCGTGTCGTGGACCGCCTTCGATTCGGGGGTTTCAATGCTGAGGGCGTCCTGTTCAGTTAGTCGACGCTCAACTCGAACACCTGAACTGAAGCCTAAACCCAGCAACCCTGACCACCAGAACCCTAAAACCTCCAGAAACTGTAAACCCTTTGACCCTCAACACCAAAACCGTAAGCGTTTCGACACTGTCATCATAGACTGAAGGGCAAAACCGAAGAATGAACTCCCTCTCGCTTGCGGACTCCGGATTGACTGTTGAACGGCTCTATAGGGTAGGGTGTTTAGAGTTTGGGTTTTGGTTTTGGGTGGTGGAGCAAGGTTTTTGGTCCCATAGCCTCAAATTGGGACTTTGAGACAACAACTCTAGACGTCAACCGATTCTTTGATAATCCCCTCGTCAAAGCAGCCTTCTGGTTTCCGGAAGGAAGCGCTTTTCTGGCCTAACGTCCAAAGTAATCCCAACAACTCCGCGTCAGTTGCTCACGCTAAACCCTAAAAGCCTTGAAAGGGGGAGCCCCCTACCCTAAATCCTTAGTTACAGCCCTGCCGAGCCGTGTCCCTCCAATGTAGGGGCCTGAATCATTAGAATATGGTTGCGCGCTCCTTTATGGGATAATTATGAGACGGAACCCCAAGAAATAATATGTGGATCTAGCAGAATTATTGGAAGGAACACGAAGGAGTATTATTCTTGTCATGATTTCGGCTTCTTTTTTAGTGGCCCCAGACTCAGGCTCGGCAGTCTGCCTCAATCGACTAGTGACTAGGGCTGCTCACGGGTTCTATTCGGGTTTAGGGTTTGGGTTCATCAATCAGGCTTTAGGGTTCATTAGGGTGCAGAGGGCTTGAATACTTAGAACTGGGTCTTACAAGCACTTATAGGATTTCGAAGGGCATGGTAATAGGAGGAGCGTCAACACGCGGACAAGGGTTTCGGGTTGGTTATGCTGCTCTTTCAATACACTTCAGGAATAGCGCGAACAAGTCTTCGGGCTTCTGTTTGTATTACAATAGAGAAGCTGCTTGAGAAGCACTGCATGTCGCAAGCCTAAGTCTAGGCTCGCGGAAACACCAAACACACTCCAATGCCAAGCCTTCGCAAACCTTGTGGGGTTGGGGTGTAAGGTTGATGAAATACCCATACCATACCTCACCCTGCCATACCAAGATGGCAGCATTACATTAGGCTTTCCTGCGACTCGCATCGGCCACGCGCCTTGGCCAGAAAGCTCAAAAGCTGAACTCGATCCAAGGGCTTCTCATTGAGTTCCTCCTCCGGAATGGCTGAGTTTGAAGTTGAAGGCTTTCGGGTTTAGGGCGTCGGGTGTGGCACAAAAATCAGAAAATGCATGAAGTCCTATTGAGTGGTAGCTGGCCTAAAGCGCGGTTAAGAGTAGAAGGTCTTGTGTTACCCGCAGTACTGGTCCACATGCCAGAAGGCCCAGAGGCCAGGGGAAAGGCCGCAACAGACCCTTACCGTACCATCACCCCAGGGCCCAGGGCGAGCCAAGCTCCCCTTAGAGCCCTGAAAGGCCCGAAACAAACCCCGTAAGCCCTGAAAACAAGCCTCAAAGGAACCCCTTAACGGAACCTTTCTGCGGACCTACGGCAACCCGGAGAGTGTAGGGCCCCCAGCTGCACCGATCAGGAGGCTCTCGTGCACGGCACGCATGGTTCGGGAAGACTGGGCCATGAGCCTTGGGCTTCTGGAGGCTTCGAGCCAGGGTTCTATTGGGCTTTAGGGCTTAGGGTTCAGGGAGGGTTGTGTTGAGGGTTTTTCTATGAGTGTACCACAAGGGTTCCGTGAGGGTTCAAGGCAGGTTCAGTTGGGGTTCAGACTTTAGGGTTCTATGAGGGTTCTGCTGTGGGTTTGGTTTAGGGTCAGTGTAGAAGTCTACGAGGTTCTTCTGGGATTTAGTTGCTTGTGTCTCAGGTCAAATGGTTCTCCAATCTTTGGAGTGTTGGCATTCACAGACTGCTGCCGCGGGCAAGCGCCAATGTTCCCAACAAGCTGTAAGTAGTCCTCCGATGGCCTGTTCGAGTTGGTCTTTCCGTGATAAATACAGATCGGGGTGGTAGCAAGGTCTCTTGGGTTCAGCTGGCATTCGATGTCGTGCCGCGGTACGGATTCCAGCAGTCGTTCCAGCAGGGCTGGCTGTCTGCCGAGCTGTCCGCTGGCTTGGTAGGCTCGCGTTGTCAGTCATCTTTTTGTAAAGATTTTAAACTGTTAGTGGTAAAGAAACGCTATCCTCGTTCTTGCTGCTGGGCAGTCGGTACAGAAGTCTCATCTGTTTTGGGTTGCCCGGGCCTAATCAGTCGGTTTTCTGCGGCGCTGTTCGTTGTGATTCTCTCCCTCATCGGATGTTCTTCTTGTACCATCAAACTGACCAATTGTTCGCTGCCGCTGTTTACTTCCCAATTAGAGGCCCGAGGATGAGGCGTTCTTTTCTGTGGTAACGCTTGAACCTAGAACCTCTTAAAGCCCAAAGCCCTCAATTCCTTTAACCCTGAAAGCTCCTCTAAACCTAAGAAACCTCGAGCCCTTGGCCCCTCAACCCTGAAACCGGTCTCCATTGCCCGGCAGCTGCGCGTTCGACAGGACCTGGCCGACGAAGTGTTGGTGATCCTCTGAGGTGGCTGGCCTCGCCGTTTGGGGGGAAGGGGGGCGAGGGGCTGTATTTACTGCAAGGGTTTATAGGGGTTTCGAGGGTTGACTAACCAAGGCTTAAAGGGCCGAAGGGCGTTTTGCAATGGAGGTTTAGTAGGGTTTGTTTTACTTCGCGACTGGGGCTCTACAGGACTTTATCTTTATTATGGCTTTGTAGGTTTCACAAGGTGTTTCCGGGGCTTTCAGGGTTTTGGGCTCTCCGGCGCAGAAGAAACTGCAGCTCTAGCACGGCCACACGCTGGCGCTAGCATTTTTAATCAAAATGCGGCAGAAGCATTTTCTGGGTTCCCGAGAAGTTCTATCGAGTTTGGAAGAACTTTATCACTACGGGGCATTACACGAGTTTCAAAGCGCTTCTAGCTCTACAGGGGTCTTCAATTCTCCGTAAAGTTTTGTGCGACAGGCACTGGTTTTGTACGAGATTGCCATTAGTAGGGTGGCATGCTGTCGTGCGTACAGCTTACAGAGCTTGGATTTGAAGAAGTTGTGGATGTCGGCGGTTGCCTTCTGTTATGCGGGGTTCGAGGGCGTTTATGTCTTGAGTCACAGTAGGGACATTGGTGTTTGGAATAGGTGGGGGGGCACAATCATAGCGTGATGAACACGGGACTACGCGGGATCATTGCTACTTGCGCAGACAACCCATAGTAAGCAAGTGCGGCCACGCCTGCACCCATATTGTGTTTTGTTTTATTCAAACGACCCAAACCGGAAAAAGACCGAAAATCAAACCCCCAAGCCCAACACTGTTAGTCCTAAGCATCCTAAACCTGAAATCATGAACTGGAAAGCATCGAACCCTCAGCCCCTTGGATCTCTCGATGCCTTGGAACCCTGCACTCTAAAATCCCAGAACCCCCATCCTCTATAACCCCAAACACCAATACAAATAACAACAACAGCTATTCTTGACAGCACTAACAATACAAAGCAGCCATATTCATGATAGCGATAAACCATCGCAATACTCATGGACCTTTTTGATATACCACTGAAAACCTGAGAGGGCCTGAACTTGGACATCTCGTGCCATTCTTTGAGGTCGCTTCTTCGGATGCCCGTGGTAAAGGACCTCCGCAAAGGAAATGGCGCAAAGGGATTCACGGTGTAGATTGGGTACTACCCGCACGCAGCAACAGTCTATAGTAGGGCTATTAAGAAGGGCCAAACTCTTCAACATTCCTGAGCGGGGGGCCCCCGTATCCAAGCCATAAAGAGCTCTAGAGGGTGTACAAGAGTCTCAGTAGTGCAAAATAGCGGCTTGAGGTTTACGGTTGAGGGTTGGTGCCTCCAGGTGCACCAAGCAAGCCCCAAGTCCAAACACGGTCGAAGAGTTCCTTTAATGGTTCTTCTAGGGTTCGTTTAAGGATTTCTGTCTAGGATTGAGGGTTCAAGGGTTTGAGGCTTAATGATTCAACCCGGCTACGGTTCATTCGTCTAGGGTCCAGGGTTGTTCTGGTTGAGGAACTTAATTTAAGTTACCATAACAGCGATCTATGGTAAATACAATGTTACCACTGGCTCCTCATTATAGTAACCCCAGGTCAAGCCTCAAGCGCCCGGCTCAGGGCCCTCTTGGAGTTTAGGGGTGCCAGGTTGAAGATTCTAGGAAACGGTTTAGGGTAAGTATAGGGTTTGGGTTTTGGACTGTTGGTTGTTGGCTTAGGGCGAAGCTTCTAGAGTCTAGGGCTCAAGAAGAGCATGCTGCACTTGAGGATGCAACGGCTTCTTGAGATAAAGGACCCTTCTAATAAGGACCTGGCCATTTCAGGTCTGAGTTCCGATCCCTCATTTGTATCATCTGAAAGTCTCGTGTAACTGTAGGATTTAAGGTCTGGTGTTTGCGACTAAGAGTTTGGGACTTGGAGTTCGGGCTCCACACCTTAAGCCCTAAGAACTGGAAACCATAGTGACCCCGCGAACTAGTGACCTCTTAGGGTAAGGTCATAGCCAAGACGGGCAGAAGCGAGTTTCAGCTTTAGGTTATGGTGTTTCGCTGCGAAAGCAGTGAGCAGGCATTGTCCCCTCTGCCCCTGAGGAGCTGGAACTCCGGCCTGTTGATCGTGAGAATCTGTGACACGAGCTGTTGGAAGACAACCTTGTGCTTCTTGTCAACATCCTGCAGGGGACAGGAGGCAAGTGTCTGAAACACTCAAGTCCACCCAAGCGTCTCAACCCTAGGCCTTCAACTCGAAATTCTACACCATCAACTCTCAACCCGAAATCGTTCACCCGAAGACGACGCCCACAGCCCTCTGTGCCAACGCCCACAAATTGCTCGGTTCAGAAAAGTCGGTATTTTTGTTTTGAACACCAGCAAGGCTCGCCGGATAGCTACGACGATGTTCTCTGCTCAAGCATGGACGCCCAAAACGTATCGAGCTACAGTGTGTTGGGGTATGTTCATGACTGTAACATAGGGGGCCGTTGAAAGAGAGCTCTCGGTTCAGGTGTTAGGCAGTGTCCGTGATCTCGAAGAAAACCTGGCATACGAGGGCCTTCGTGCACGACCCGGTGACCGAATGCTCGCATTTCTCCCATCGTTGGAATTATAAACAAATCGCTCGCCACTGAAAGCACCCGATGCATCCCAAAAGCCTGATCATATCCTTCGATCCAGTAGGTTCTATAACATAAACTCCTGGTCAACGATCAAACCTGTAAAAAGCTTGGGGGATCATTGCTCGGCGCATATCAGAAAACCCACGGCCCCACCTGTTGAGTATCTGCTGCGTCCATACCGGAGTGCTTTTGACGTAAACTGTCCGGGGCTTCTAGTCCGTGCTGCTAAGCCATCTTAAAACCCAAAGCTTGCAACCTTGGAACCACTAAAAGCCTGAATGTGGTAGCCTTAAAGACTTCCAGTCTTGAATTGTTGCCAACAAAATAACAACAGCACATTGTTATCATGACTGTGAACCTGATGTTCAAGATGATACTGGGAAGGAACCGGCCCTGTGAGTGATGACCACCATCAGCCCGTTTACTTTGTATTTGTTTCTCTCTTGCTCACATCGCTTGCTTCCGCGAGCCCTGTTCCTGGAGATCGAGATCTTCCAGAAGCTCCAGCTGCGATGCGTCGTAGAAAGCTTTCTTTTGAGGCGCCAGGCCCTGGAAGCCCAGGTGCGGCGTTGAGGGCTCGACTTTTTGCAGCCTTAAGAGCTCGGGGGCTTTTTAGGACCCTCAACACTGGGCCTCGGCTATCCCCAGGCTACTATCAGCAGGCAGAAGCTCAAAGGGTTGGAGCCTATTAAATGGTTGCATGGTCCCCCAGTCTCTGCCTGTTTACACGTCATACAAGTGAGGACGACCCAAGTTTCTGGGTGCTGATCCTCCCTCTCCGTCTTCTTGGATCGGGGCACTTCGCAGGGTTTAAGCTCCATCTTCAGCCACGCTATGCCTTAAATGTCAAGCCTGCCTATGGTTCACGCCGATAGCCGATAGCGAGTGCTTTCATTGCTGCAGACATCTTCTAAATCCGAAGCCCTAACCCCGCAAAATACGCAAGCTGGCCATCTACACTACACCCTGAGCCGAAAGAAATAAAGCATTGAGATGAAATCCACACCAGAATACCTCGCTAAATGCGTCAATCCCCCCGTGCAACAAACACCACGGACTACCTGCTCGAAAACCCAACGTTCAGCAGACCTCTGGAAGTTCCCCAAACTGCGGCTTTTTTCACGCGGGGGGGGTCGACAGGATCCTACTGCTTCAAGTCTATATCCAGTTTATTCCAGTTCTGGATGATTGCTGACATTACATTCCGAAAGTCGCAACAAGTCTGTAGCCTAAGCCCCGAGATCCTGAGCACTGAATCAACCGCCTGAGCAACAGCCAGTCAAGCCGTATGCCTTCGTATGCTGCTTCTTGAGCAGCCGCTGCTTGTCTTGTTTCAAAGACAGCCTTGGTCCGAGATGTTCCATCTGCTTGGCAACAAGAGCGATGGCACTGCGAAGACACAGAGTTTCCTTTTCATGCATCCTCGTACATGGGCTCACAGGTCTAGCAGGGCCTTGGGCTCTTATGTCAGGATCGGCTTCACGGCTTCTTAGCCTGGTCCCAAACCCATGGAACTCCCTGCAGGACCCTTAAAGGGGCCTCAAGATGCAAGCCAAGTCTCTGCACGTTTTCGAGGGCTTTCGACATGAAGTTGCTGCGAAATCCCGGCCAGCGTGCCCGAGCCCGCACCAGAGCCCTGAGCCCTAAGCTGGAACCCCAAACCGCAAAAGGCCCATGCACTCTTGAAGCAGCCCCCTGAAGAGAGGAGAGCTCCTTATCTTGACATATCTCGGCACCCATTCAAACTAGCCATCACTATGAGGGGAATGGAGGCTTTTCTTGAGAGCGAAGCTACAGAAGCTGATCCCAGAATAGTCTTGCAGAGTAGCAGCACCCATGTGAGGATGTCTTTTGGTGAGAAAGGGGTATAAGATTAAATGGGGTTTTCGCACGATCGATCGTACTGCGTGACAAAGTAGATTGGTTTGGGGCTGAGGATTGATAAACTTTTGTACTGGATAACGGGGCGGGGGCATTAACCCCGTACCGAAAAGAACCATCACATTTTCATGTCCTACGAGCAACACGCTTTTCGAGTTCGAGCCAGCAGACGATCATCCGAGGCGAAGGGCTGCATGAAAGACTCCCCAGGCAAAAGGCGTTGAGATGCCCCAATTTCTGAAGCCTTTAACTTAGGGTGTTGGTGAGCGTTTGTAGGGCTTACCACCCACATCACGTGAACCCATATAGATAAATCCTAAACCCTGAACCCTGTCCTCGGGAATGCATGAGGGGGTTGTGGAGATGAAGAACCCAACACAGCAGGTTTAAGCTACAAAGGGTCTCGCGTTCAGGGTGGAGTTTGAGGTCTAGGGTTTAAGTTGGCCGTACAGTCGATGACAAAGGGTTTAATTAGGTTTCAGGGCAAAAGATATGAAGGTTGAGGTGGCAGCATGGTGTGGAGTCTATAAGTTGCAGGTGTAAGGGTTTAAGGGTTCATGGTTCACAGGATCATGTGTTAGGGCATGAGATTGCGGGACTTTTGGAAGAGTCTATTGCGCGAAAGCCTAAAATTAAAAGCAGAAGCCTTCGCGTTCAGGGCCGCGTCAGGACTCTCAGCAGGACTTCGTGTGGAAGACAACTGAGAAATTAAGCACCCAAGAAGCTCCTGGAAAACCTCCGGCAGGTCTATTGCCTCAACCCCTTAGCTTCAAACCCTGCAACTCAAGCATGTTATCTTGGGGTGTCAAGTCTTCGGACACCCGCTTAACACATGATCATTTAAGGGTTTGGGGGAAGCCAATCCAAAACAGCGACAGGGAGGTCAGGTGTTGCTGCGATGAACACGGCTACTTGTTCCCGAAATCCTGCAGCGTGGAGCTATATCTGTACCCGGGGCCTTAAACTTAAACTCGGTCCGTCTTAATCACTACAAGCTACTAGAAATGAGGAATCCATGGCGAAGCAGATGCTGCCCTTGCCCTTTCCCTTTCAAGTTAAGCCCGCACCAACAAGAACCGAGACGAGAAAGGCACCACAAATTTGCTCACGGAAATGAAGGCTGAATTGTGAGCTGACACAGGCTAACCACGAAGCTTTTCAGTGGCCCTTTAAAGAAACTCCGTAAAGCTCAAGAGTCCTTAAGCCCTATACGCCGACTACTGGTAAGTCTCAAGTTCATGGATGGCAGTAGTGTTGAGGGCAGGAGGATTTGGGACTGGAGATGTTCTGCAGTGGAGGTAATGAAAAACCCCAAGCCTCCCTTGCACCTCCAATTTCTTGCACATCTTCAAGCATCAACCTTATGTCCTAAACTTTAAAATAGAATGTCTGAAAATCTTGAAACCCTATTCCCGAAGCCTTGGAATTTGAACCTTATCCACCTGAAATATGCCACCTTCTGGCCTGACTTCTCCCTGAGTAGGTGACACTGACTCCACGATGGGCGAGTTCTCGCCGCCATCGTCGAGATTAGTGCCTGGGCGCAGCTAGGTCTGGTGTTTTGGAAGCTGTGACATACCGCTTCAGAAACGCGCAGTCCATTTATGCCCCGGACTTCCTTCAAACCTTCAGAATCACGGATCACATGGCATCTGCAATTTCGGGAACAGCAACTGCAAGCTGTACATATCTTCACATCAAGCAGTCGTGCAGCTTTCCGTGGGAGGACGGCCCGTGGCCGTGAGAGCCGACCCCAAGAAAAGACCGCTTTAAGCGCAGGGACAGAGGGATTTGTACGTAGTTGGGGGTACTGCTACTTCTCCCAGAACTTTGTAAACAAAGCACTAGGTCCCATGACACTGAGAGCAAGCGTGCAGTTTCTCCGAAGTTGCCGTGCACCGTGAGTCTGAGACTGTTGCCGATCCCTAACGGCGCGAAATCTCTAAAACTCCCCTAAACCCTAAAATGCGGCCTCTACTTTGAGGATCAGGGGGCTCAGTATAAGGTTACTGGTACCTCAAACGGTGTTGTAAGTGGATAGAAGTATAGTTCACCTCATCTGTGACCATAGAGACAAGTCCCACGACCCTTAACCGAACGCCCTTAACCTTCATAGAGTGCCGTTCGAACCCTTGGCAGAACTCTGATGGCACCCTTTAACTTACTAAGTCCCATGATCCTTCAACAACTTACTTGTTCAGTATCCTAGTGGAACTACAGGTCAACTGTAGTACCCCAAAAAAATTAAAGGTTTACCTACTCTGCTACTCCGAGAAGTAACGCAACTGAGCCCCTGGGCGCGCTCGAGCAAGCAACTGCACCGTCTTCACGGTCAGGTTCTGGGCATGGAACAGGGTTTGATCAGGGTTCTTAGAGTTTGGGAGTTTAGGGCTTATCAGGGCTATTGAAGGGGTTCGAAAAGGGCAATATGGGATGCATACAGGGGTCTGAACAATTAGAAGAGGGCATTGGGGAATACCATATCACACATAACTATACAGGGACTACAAGGATACATATATACATATACATATACATATACATATATATACGTGTGTGTGTGTCTGTATAGAGATCTCTGTATAGAGATCTAGAGATCTAGAGATGTAGAGATCTATAGATCTATAGGTATCTAGATATATATACATGTATGTATTGAGCAAGAAGGCTCCACCTTCCAAGAAGACCGATGATACGTGCAGGGCTTGAGGGATTAAGCGCTTGAGGGCTTTTGAGGGATTTATGGCTTACGGGCTTCATGGCTTGCGGGTTTAAGGGCTTGAGGTTTAAGAATTTTCTGTGCTTAGTCTAATTCCTGTGTGTCCCCAAAACCTGCTCCAAGCCCCTGGCCCCATGCCTGATGCATGAACCCTCTTTGCAAGGCCTGACTTCAGGATCCCGGTAAATAACCGTCTGAGGGGAGTGGGCTGAATGTATCAGGGGTCTTCATTGCACCCCAGACCAACGAAGTTGTTCTGCTGCTGCTTTGCTCCCCATGTCAGGCTCTGGTCGCCAAGCCTCCCGTCTCAACACCCTACAAGCCCTACCAAATCCTACTAGTAAGTACGAAACCGTTTGATACAGGAAACTAAATGATTACGTCAGGGCTTCGGTGTATATTCTGCTAGAGTCAGACAATGACCTTACAGGATTAATTTACGGGGGCGTAAAGGGATATTCGCACCAACACACTCAAAAGCGTACTGTATTGTAAACTAACTGGGGTCTTTTTACGGAGCTGCATTTAGGTGATATAATATGGTTTACTTGTTACGATAACTTAACTTGAACTCTGTAACAAGAACCCACATAACCTCCGAGGCCCAAACTGCCGAGCCCTTCCAGCCGGCCTCATCGGCATTGTCCACGAGAGTTTCATCCCAGGGTGGGAGGATGGCATAAAGAGGGGCCTCGGTTTAGCGGAGTAGGGTTTATAGTGCTTGGAGCGATAGGTGTTTAGGGTTTAGCGCTTCACCGGTTCAGACTCAACGGTCTCTGCTGTATTTTGAAATTTCGATTTCACAATGCAATGTAGCACTACTAGTTGTGGACCGTACTTGGTGCTGCTGGTGTGGTGGTGGTGGTGGCTGTGGTCGTACAGGGTGATGGTGCCGGTGGTGTTGCTGCTGCTACTACTACTAACACCACCACGACTACTACTGCTACTACTACTACGACTACCACCACTACCACTACCACTACTGCTGCTACTCTACTGCTACAAAAGGAGCTAGCTTTCTTGACAAGGCAACCAGAACGCTCGCCATGATGTATGTACCTTACTAACTTGCGTCTCCGACAAACTCCCACCTCATACGCACGTGCGATACAGCCCAAGACGCCAAGCTGTGCTTTGCTCGCGAGACTCTTGACATGGTCCAGGCATGGCAGGGCTTGAAAGAACAGCATCACGATGACTGCATAGGTCGAACCTGCAGAATGCCCGCATCCACCGCAGTCTGCGCAGCCTTGGCTTGGGTGTGCAGCAGTGCAGCCAGCTTAGACAACTTAGACAAACCTCCGGTTTGGCGTGCTCCACGTTCACATGTTGAGGCAACTTCAGGGACGTGGGTCCGTCATGGAGGTGGATGCCGGGGAACCTTACATATGCTTGCAAAATATTGCGGAAGACGTCGTTACCCAGTCTCTTGCTTTGCAGAGGTTTTGGAGGTGCAGAGAAACGGCTGCAAGACTGAAGCACAAAGCAAAGCCTCTCAAAAACAGTTGCTTGCAAGGCCCGCTAGGCCTGTGACCCTGCTGGGCGGCCCGGCCATCGGCCCCGTAGTGGCTACGATGTTGGCCAAGGCGGCTGCGGCGTTTTCCGCACCGAGAAGACTTGGAGGCTCGCCTGATGCCCAAGTAAAAAACCAAAGGCGTTTTGCTTGGGGTCGCCTCCGTATAGCTCCCCAGGTCTTATGCGACCTGGGCCAGTACACCTTTTCCGAGTTGCAGTCCCAAACCTCCTTCCACCTCACACATAGACCAAAGCTCAACTCCTGCCAATGCCCTGGCATCCCTCCTTGTGGATTGCAATGCGAAGACCGTGGCGAAGACTGCAGGGGACTCAGTTCAGCGGAGGCACCCTCGGGAGACACTTCCAGGAAGCGCATCAGGCGAGGTATGGCCATGGCTCGGTAGACTGCCTCCCACACACACGCACAAACAAATGCACAGACAGAGAAGCACACCTCTCTCTGTGTAAGTCTAAGTGTCTTGTCTGCGCGGCTTCTTGCAACTCGGATCGCGCAGACTTGTCACCAAGTATACAGCAGGAATACCACAATACCAACAAGTACGACAGATAAGATTTGGACACATACAAACAACAATGCGGCTCGGAAAAAGCAATGTCCCATCAGGGTACAGCAAGTGACAGCAGAAGGGGAAGCACTCAGATTCACGGCGATTAGCCCAATGCAGTACCTGCCAACCTCCCGACTACAACTGTGGTATAATAATACCATTCATGTATATTCACGTGCGGGCACGAGAGCTTTTCTTCAGGTCCACCTGTTAGGCTCGACTGCCCAAGATATGAACCAGCGGCGATGGAGAATCGACCTAAATGCAGCGTAGAAGGGCACCACGTCGCGAGCATATAAGGTGAGGGTGCTTCATGAAACGTCCCTTGTGATATCTCAGGCTACTGAACAGAGCTTTGGCAGACGGAGCTCTGCCGGCCCGCTCCGTCATCTTGGCCGCATGTATGCGGCGGCCCACGCACACAGACACGCACTTGGACATACACCCACACACGCTCGCTCGCTCGCTCTCCTACTCTGCTCTATTCCTTTGGCAGAAGGGGAAGTGGGGCGCATGTGCCTTCCGGCAGTTCTCCCCATGGCCACTGAGCAGATTGGCCAGGGCCGCAAGAGCGCGCTCGCGGACCTCATGGTGTCTCGACTGAAGTTGCCAGTACGAGGCACTGCACAGAGAACACCTCCGTCGTGGGGGGGGGGGGGGGGNNGGGGGGGGGGGGGGGGGGGAGATTCACATGAGGGCTGGAAGTCCATCGGTTTTCACGACGGGCAGATTGTGCTGGAGCTCCTTGCGCATGGTGCTTTCCTTTCGCAATGTGCCGTGGAATCCTGGGTATGCTTCTGTCTGTCCCCTGTCCCAGATGTCCTCAAGCTAGGGGTGGCTTGCCGCATTTTGAATCATAGAACTGCCTGTCAATTCAGGCACCGACGGCAAGGGAATGGTCATCCTCGAGGTAGCCACACAGCACCTGCAGGAGAACAGCACCTGCAGGCCTCTCATGCTAGTCATTCACCGCCCAGGAGCCCATAGTTCAACGTCGTCCCCATTGAATCACTTAGCCTCCACAGCGCCGTTTGCACCGATGGCCTCCTGGGCGCCTTGGTATCGACACGGGAAGAAGGAAAAAGACTCTCATGCGAGGGAGCCGTTCAACGTGCAAGCGGTGTATGTTTCTACTCACTGTACATGATCGTGTGCCTGCGGCCAACAGCAAGGATGTCAGGGCGCCCAGCGCATTGATAAGCACCTGCTTTCAGCAAATGTTCAGTTCAGTGGATGTCGAAGTGCGAGTCTGGCTATAACAAGTCCTGTCCCAGAGGAACCAGAGCGCATGCAACACACTGCAGGGAGCCAGTGTTTAGGGTTCAGGATTTGGGG